CTTCTCTTTAAGCAGTCACCTGATCGCCCAGATATGATTACTCTGCATATGAGATGTATTCACCCTATTTTATTTAAAGTTATAAGGGGACTGGTAGGTGAATTTTCCCACAATGAAATGAGTAAGCCTTATTATTCCACTGAATGCCCTATAGCACTGCTTTGTCAAAAGGCATTCTCATCCTGACTGGGGTGGACTGCAGTATCGACCTCGCCTAGGTTTTATCAGCACCCCAGCGGAAATCTTCTCAAACTCTGAATTACTATCCCTTAAGCTGTCGCCTGGCCTTCCAGATAATAAGTCAACCAAGAAGCAAATGGAGAACATTAGACTTTAAGTTTTTGCAACTTATTTACATATTCACAATATATGAAAAGTTGTGAAATATACTTGTCACGAATATAGTAGCGTTGTCGATTAAAATAAAAAATGTAACTGAGTAATTGACATTAGAGGCCTGGCTTTGCTCGGACTTTATAAAAAAGATAAATCACAAAATAATGTCAACATATGATAGTACAAAATAGCAAAAGTTAAAGCCAGCGCGCCCAGTTGTTGTAGGCTCGGAAGTGACAGCACCTACTGATAAATACGACGATAGAGATAAATTGGTAAACACGAAGAAGTAGAGGGTTTTGATGAATCTCAGAGGATAAAATTGTTATGGAGACTTTCATTTCGTTAGAAAGTGCAGAATGAATAGATTCGTATGTCGATCTCACTATAGGACGATGGCTAATTCCGTCTGTATTGCAGCTGTTTTGCGTTGATAAGACGTTCAGATTAGCGCATCCAACGAGACATCCTCCCTCGTTTCGGGTAAAAAAGGACAGAGCTTTCTTTCGTCATATGACCAACATAATCGGAGCTGGGACTTATACTTGCAAAAGTCTTAAGTTAATAGCAAGTCAAGAATCTGAGCTCTGGGGCATTGTAGATGATGCAATTACGGAATCCACGTCAGATAAGCAATTTCGAAGTTAAGAGGGAAGGGGGCAAAGTAAACAAGCATTTGTTAAAACTATCCAATAAGCTCGCCAAAAAGAGCACTCATCTAGAGTAGTCCGGGAATACACCAAGTCTACGATCCGACGATGGGAAGTATTTCGGTAAATAATACAACATATTTCTGAGGTTATCTGGGATAGTAAGACAGATTTGAACTTAGCATAGATTTATTTGGGCTAAAGGATGCTTCTACGAGGACCTCCAGTCTCAAAGTAACAATCAAAAACTCCTTTGCTTTCCAATGGTGCCAAGTTATGATTCCCTTCCAACCATCTCTTCACGCGAAATGAAAGAACCAATAGAATAAAATAATTAAGCTAATTTTTTTCATTCAGTGTATGTGACAAAATTATTAGATCACACAGTATGGAAAGCGTCCTTTCAAACTTTCATAAAACACGAGTAATGAAATCGAGGTAATTCTGACTTTATACAGTGAAGAGAGACTGTAACCAAATTAAGGACCATCTTTTGCTTCCTATCTCATTGTATGAAAACTAAGTTATAAGTCATCAAATCACGCTGAGCGACCTAGCCATACCAATCTATTGTTGATAAATTCACATCAGCCAAATTTTGAAAATTCTCAAAAATGGTTTATTCCAATAATCAATTAAATACCATTTACTCAATACACAATAACATAAGTAGGCATGGTCTTTTTGGCTTGAATTTGACGTTCTTGTGTGGATTACGGATAAGTAGCCTGGACCCAATATTTGATAAAATATGCTAAATTATCCTATATGAACAAATTGTTAACTATTTTTTATCAATAGTTTATTTGTCATCTTGACGTAAAAAGCTGAAGTAACTGCCCGCCCAAAATTAATAATCGACTGAAGTTTTGGCATTAGCTTCTTAACGGTATTTAGATTGGCTGCCAGGGCTGAAAAGGGTTTTTTCCTCGTCTCTTCACAATTACCTTGATTTGTGTTTTCCTCCTAGAGGACGACTTACAGTAAGCATACTTTACCAGCCTCCTGAAATGCAGTTCACTTTAGGCATATCACATATCCAGTATGATTGTATTGACGACTCAAAAGATCTTTTCCAAAATCCCCGGTTGGTTCTGTAAAGCAGACTGATATAAGCGTCAGACTCTTATTAATGGCAATTATATTTGTAACCTATTTGCACTCTGATATAGTGCTGTCATAATGGCACCATGCATTATTTGATCCCTAAACCATCTTGATATCTCGAAATGTTCCATCTGAGCCTGCTCAGAGGAAGTCTAGCGAGTCTCCAGCCTTTCTTACTAATATACAAGGCTATATCAGACTATTTAGACACAACTTTTTTAACATCCGCTTATCCATTCATCATTTTTCATTATGGGACTGTTTGAGTGGGTTGAGGAGAGGAAAAAGGATAGGCAAAGTCTAGTAACTACCGAATTAAACAGCCGGTAAATACATTACGCGGGAACAAGACAGCCTTTAGAGCCCTTCCATTGACCATTGACTTCGTTTGTGTCGGCGAAACATCAGCAAGCAAGTCGCATTCCCCACCGGCTTGAATACGCCATTCGCCGCGGGCCAGGTTGTGGCCAGGAGATGTAGGACCGTCATCTTGTCCCGTGGAAGGCAGTATCGTGGCACCCAGCATGTTGATACCATCTGATGCGATACTGGTATTGAGTCGGCCTGTAAGCACTGGCATATCAAGCAGGTAGCCCGGGTTGCCACTTGTCGTGAAGACTGGCAATTGGTTCACGCTCTTTTCATTCAGGATTGCCTATAGCGACAATACAGTAGATGATGAAAAATAATAAATTAAAAACAGAGTGAATTATTAACAGAATTTCAATGAAGTATTTACAGATAGTCAACACTAAGAATGGAAAATATTAGATTATTTGGACCAAAAGTTGGAAGTTTAAATTTTTAAAAATCATGCTCCAGCACTGAAACAAAAGTACAAGTACATTCATTAAAGTTGATACTCGGCAAGCATCTATTCAAATATGGCGCAGTAAGCATACGCTTTAGGCTGGAGTTTGTATATTCCATTTCTAAAATCGTGAAAAGAAATATTCAATAAGGAAGAATAGATATAACTAAATTTAGGATCTCCTAATAATCATATAAATATATAGGAGCATTACTAATATATGAGTTCAAGAGACCTAAGTTCAGAAGAACATAAAATGTCCGCTGTTTTGTAAGCTAGTTGCTTAAGGTTACAAGGGGTTTCCTGGTTTGATAAGAGAATGATTGTAAAAACGGAGTGGTATACCAATTACAGATGCTCCTCAATCTCACTTAAGAAGCTCCCTTGGTTCCTAACATGTTTAATAAATGTGTAAAAGAACAGTTACTGTTTGCTAATACTTCAGAGAGCCTGAAAGAAATTCTTAAGTTAATAAATATAAGTCCTGTGGTGAATAAATTTACCATGACAACTACTATGGCAGACGATTTCAGACTAGGTGCGTTCTACTAAGTCGTCCTGACAAGACCAAGTTGCGACAACGAGGTCAACCCACTTCTATAAATTGAAAGGAGATTGCGACCATAACAGAGACCACAATATCTTGGTCTTCATATATATTTAATTATCCTCTAAGTTTGATTAAAAATAAAATTAGATTAATAAAGAATAGCTTTTTTAATGATGAAAGAGACATTTTCTCATGTTTTGTCTTTAGCTTCATGTATTCTCTCTAAAAGGATAGGTGAACAGGTAAGTTTTCAGGGAAATTATGATACTTTCTTTAGTTATTCCCACTCTTAGTT